AAGTTATTTGCATTAAACAACTAATAAAACACTTTCTGCATTGCATTTTTCTTAGGAACTGTGATGTATACTACAAGTGGTAATCTTCCTGACTACGACACATTCAGCAGCACAGTTCTTTGTAAAAGAAGGTAGAAATTACCAACCCAAAGTGCTGGAACAAAAGAATTACGCCCATACCAAAGCATAAATGACAAAAATGGCTATCAATGTGACTTCCAGTTTTAAATGATTAGGTCACAAATTGAACATACTCCCCTCCTTAGTCACCTAATGCTTAGAAATTTTCTCTCTTCTGTTTTTCAAAGTCTTGCTTTGTGGGCTAGATAAGAACTTCATTTAAGTGCCTTCCTTATTTTCTGGTGGCAGAACTTTTACGTAGGTTTAGAAGACCATAGCTAACAAGAAGAACAACAAAGTAGTGTCAAAGCAGCTTTCAGGGACAGAGAATATGCAGAACACAAACATCTGAAATAGGGCCCAGATATCCAGGCAAACTACCACGGCTTAACAATGTACTGCCTGTCATGGGTACTCTTAACAACTGACTGCAGATGTTTAGAGCCTGTGGCAAATGGAAACCAAAAGTATTCCAGCCTTTCTTACTGGCACTTGAGCCATCAGCTGGATCAGCTAAGCTCAAAAGGCTCATCATCTCTCCTTCAGATGGGTTCAGATACTCTGAGACAAGGATTCCTGCCAATATTCCTACTGAATGTCTCTCACTCATTTTAAATTCACACACCTGATTCAAGCAATTCAGCCTAAAAGCAATTATGGAAAATATTCAAGTACTCAGTTGTATAGAGGAACAAAATAACAAGACTAACAATTGAGGATGTTATTGCAGAACATTAAACAATATCCCTCCTTTATGCTACAGAAGAGGGAATTACTTCATTTTAACTATAATGAAATATGTAGAAATTGGAAATGAATCTCCATTCAGGTGCTTTTGTGCTAAAATGCAAGAAATAATTGCTTAATAAACTGCTGGCACATTTTAGAACGTGCTTTATCATAATCCCCAGTGAAGACTCTAAGGGATAGCTTCATCCATTTAATACCTTTAACATAAATGGTTCAAGTCTTAGAGTGTTCCCTCAGAACAAAAGAGACATTTTCGAGGAGTGTTTGAAATGCAGCATTTCTGACAGAGATAGCAAATGCTACCACTCATGGATGTATGCTATACAGGGTCTTAAAAGCTATGGTGTTTAGCATTTAAGGTCCCTGCAACACTGGTACTAAAAGGGGAAAATCTCTTCCCCTACATTCATACAGCTGTTTCGACAGAAGCCTGACACATGTTAAGTGATCCTTCTTCCCCTGTGCTTTGTTTTGACACAAATCGGGAGGTCAGCTCCCAGCATGCCTGCCAGGCACTCCAGATCTGTCTTCTGTGGCTCTTAACACTCCACACATCAACGTTGTGTCCAGTTGCAGAAAAAGAGGGTTTCCCTTTAAACAAGGACAGGGAACTTGTGCGATACAGATGACCCGGTGTGCAAGTTAACCAGCTCCAACAGTTCACTTTTGTCAACCGAATGCTGAGCACCTTTCCAGTAAGCCTGCGGGACACGGGAGCTGCACAGCTGCATCACCAGAGAGCCCTGAGAACTGATGCGCTCACCAGCCACAAACAGGGCTGTGCAGCAAAGCCCTGGGCTCAAAGGTAGCTTTGTGGTGTTGTCATTTCTGCTGTTCTCTCTCCTCTCTCTCTCACACCATCTCAGGGAATTCTTACTCCCCTAAGGATTCTCCAGCACAAAGGCAAATGAAAGACACTTTCCAAGCTTTTGGACAAAGTGAATGTATGCTTTTATACAGTTATTTTTCTGGAACTCTATTGCTCTTTAAGACAGAAGTGATGAAGTACTGTGTATATTTTGGAGTTATTCCTTAAAGCAATGGCAAAACACAGGTAACATTTTTAAAACAGTGAGAGGTACGGCAAGTAAAAAGTACTTGTATTGTAACAATGAGCAATTTCAATACTCCAGCTGTAATGGGAATTTCCTGGTATGCAGTTAAACTAAATTCTGCTTGGCTCAGAGCCATGCAAATATTTCTTTTCCACATTCCCACCAATTACAGAAGTACAGTAAGTGTTCTTGTTCTTAAGTGCACTATTACAGAGACACAAATAAGCCATTTTTCTTCCAGTGACTGGAGCTAACATGTCTAAAATACTGTATTACACATTTGGCAAAATTGAAGCATGCTCCACTTTTTGTGTTGCATTAGAAAGCCATGTCATTAGAATCAACTGAAAATGGGTGGTACCACAGCATGTCCAAATCAGACTAGACACTCTTTATGATGGTAGTAGAGTTGTTTATACTTCAGTGCTAGTAAAAGTATTCACACTTAGGAGAGCAGTCACCAAACAGAGATCCACTATTGATAACTGCTTCCATGCAAACAATAGCAGATACGTATCATGACGGAAACCTTTTAGGGAAAAATTACATTGCATAAAGTCAGTTATCATTATAAATCCATGTTTCAGACTGATAATTTTATACTAATTTATCCTACTAAAAAAGAAAAGCTAATCAGAAGTATATACATATTTTACATACTTTTTAGAGTGAAATATATCACCCTCACAAACATTGCCTTCCATCAGTCACAAAGTCTACCAAAATCTAGAAAGACCATAAGAGTGCAATATAATCTCTTAATGTACACCAGCTGTAGTCTGCCTGTACCATGCGTGCTTATGTTTCCTCTTACAGATGCCCCAAACTATAGCACAAGGTTGAATATGAGTGCATTTCTAAGCATAAAAAGAAAATTGCCCAATTTTGGAAGCCTCCAGCCCCATATAGAGTGCACAACAAAGATATGTCTGAAGTGCAGGAGGGTGAATTTCTACAATGCTAGCATGAAAAAAAGAAATATTCTCCAGAATCAACCATTATCACTAAACATGACAAATTAAGCATGGAAACTCTATTTCTATGCTCAGCTCAGACTCATATGACCATCTTAGAAAAGAAATCTAGGTATCTCACTAAGAGTTAAGTACCACCTTATTCACATTCTGCCTACTCTTACCAATCCTATGCACATAGCATGTACCAGGGGTAGCTGACCCTATAAAGACAGCATCTAGCCAGATCCACAGGTAGGGATGTTGGGAAACACAGTTCCATTCTCTTGAAGACAAACTGGTAAACTCCAAGCTCTGGAGTTTACAGACTGCTACTGGCAGGAACTCTCTGACCAGTGCAAGGATGACTGTGAGACAACTATGGCTTTGTGGACAGCTTTACACTGGTTGGAAAGGAGATCACATTTTCTTCATCTCAACTACAGTACCAAAAACTGAGATAAAAGTATCACCTCTGTACAACATCCCTTTGCACTGCATCGATAGAAAAAACTTCGCAGTGCTTTTGAGATCTGCTCAGATTCATTGTCCAGAAAACGCAAGGCCATATTCTGTCACTTCAGAAAGCACAACAGATCACATCCTCAACTAGGTATGAGCTTTCTTTAAGTGTTAGAAAAGGAGAAATGTCTGCTTTGCAGATATTCTCCACCCTCAGTGTTTTCAGAGCCTGTATCCATAGCTGTTCAAGAACAAAAAGATAAATAGCATATTCTCATTCAACACCATGACCACAACCAAAAGTGCCTTACTACTTTCAGGCTCTAGGGTCTGCCATTTTCTTCCCCTCAAACTTACTGAAAAAAAACCCCAAACCTTGCTAAAGCCATCTTCATGGTTCAACATTGATCACAGTAACCCTATCTTCAGTTTTCCCAATGCCTATCCTTCACCTCTACATTAGATGCCAACTGTATCAAAGAAAAAACTTGGATCAATCCCCATGTCCTTGTTCTAGAATTTTAATAACTAACCTCAGTCAGCCAGTATTTCCATTCCTTATGATATCTTTTATTATATTAAATTATCCTTAGGTTTCTGCATTTTCCTCCTTAGTCACGCAAAGCATTATCCCCTACATAATCTACAGACCTATTTATTTCTTTAGATGCCATCTTTGGTGTTATGTCTATCCATGGTTACATCAAGGTGACTGGCTAACAGAAAAATGAAACTTCTGGTTCTCTAACTCCTTGTATTTTTTCTTCTTGCATGTCCGTCATTACCATTTGTCTGTGAACATGGAATCTGCTACCAAAAATAGTTAAAAAAAACCCACACCACCAGCAAAGCTGCTTACAACATCAGCTTACTTATGCCGATGTTCATACCCTGTCTTTCTTTCAATATATGATTTACCTGATCTGTTCTCTAGGCTTTAAAACCTCTGGGGCAAGAACTATCATCTCTGCTCATATTATAGTTAGCACAATAAAGACTTAAAACAGGTTAAAGTTGTCAAATGTTACTACAGTATATTGCTTTTTATACTACCAATTCAGTTAGGTTTTATTAGCAATAGTTCGCATGCTAAAACTCTGCACAGACCTTTATTCTATTATTACATTTCATGTGAAAAGCCTAAAATGACTCCTGCATACTTAGCTGAAGAAAGATTTACTCCATCTAACAAAGGATGGTACAATTTAGCCTTCTTTTACAATGAAGCAGACAAGACAACCGCTCTTTGCTGAATGCTGAGGAGTGGCAATACTAAGAGAGTTCAAAGTCACTTTTAAAGTGACTCTTAGATAAATCTTTATCTTCTACTCCAGACAGTTGGTCTAGACTACTTACAATATAATCATTGCTTGGGTGCTGAAAAAACCAACCTAGCCAGATCACACGTGGTACTTATGATTTGCTGGTCTCCTTCCATTACATGCCCAATACTTAAGCAATGCAAAGCTCCATTATGACACTGCGTCAAGAAAGTGGCGGTACCCCATTTGGAACCCTTTTGGAGACAGGATAATATAACAATATTTCCAGACAGAAGGACTGCAACATCTTAGGCTTTACAAGAGGTCATACTATGCAATCTCAGTAGCACATCACACTCCCCTTGTTACAGATGACATGAAAAAGCGCACAGACTTACTGACAATTCTCTGATTAATTTTCTTAGTTCCCTGTGTCCGTGTTTCTCAGCGATAGTTGCTGGATCCTCTCCATATTTGTTGGTTATTTTGCAGGCCTTTGTGGCCTCAGGAGAATCGAGTAGAAAAGTTGCAAGGTTCTTTAATCCAAATCTGGCTGCGCAGTGAAGGAGAGTAGGAAATTCTTCCAAATAGCTATCTGTATATGGAAACAAAAGCTTTCATAAAGAAGTTTTGCTTTTATAGAACACCTTCTTTTACAAAATTCCTTTGAATATTAGTGCTAGGGAATCACAGTTATCAAACTGCTAATACAGAACTTCTATCCAAAGAACAATTCCTCCAACTAACAGGTTTACAATTCACATATATATTTTAACAAAGGAGCCTTTAGTCTAACTAAGAAATCTCTTTGTTTTGACAGAAGGATTTTAAAGCATTTAAGTTCTATTAAGAAATAAGTTTTCTTGCAAGGAGAAGAAAATTCTACAGCCAAAAAATGCTTTGGCTTAGGTGTATATTATTTAATGCTTTAGGAGTGTTTATAGTTTGCAGCACTTCAATTGGGCATTTTTAAAGGTTTATGGCCCTATGTTTTCATATTAAAAGACATTTCTGAAAATTCCCATGACTACCAGAGACTTGCAAAATTTTGCTTATCTGTAATGAAAACCTCAGGGAATTTAAAGATGAATGTATTAGATAATGGTCTTTTAGGATTTACCTGAGAAAGTATTATATTCATTTCTATCAGAGACCTTATTTTTCACCCTAGAGGACTTGGACAAAGCTAAACTGAAGTCAGTTTATCATTTCAGCATAGTCCTGTATTCCAGCTCTACAAGATGCCACAAATTATACAGTACAACAAAGAACAGAAAGAAAAAAAAAAAGTGATCAAGCATAAACAATACTTCCCTTTGCCTTCATACTCTAATTTGGTTTGTTATGCAGCTATTTGTCTATATATCAGCATGAAATGTACCTCTTTTCCAACTATGTATTCATTGTGCTCCAGGCACCACCAACTTCATGCACCCTCAGGGTCTTTTTGGCAGTCTTTACTACCCAGTGCATGAAGAACTGCTTCCTCTAGTTTATTTTCAACCTGACTCCTGCTAGGTTCAATTGACAATCCTTAATTCATGTTATTCTCCACCTCTCTCTGCCCTTCTAAGTGATTTATTCATTCCCAGATTCTTTCTTGAAGAGCTCCAGTCTACTTAATTGTGCCTTACAGAGAATCAACTCCATAACCCCCATTGCTCTTTTCTAAACATATTCCAACTTTAATATATCTATTTTGAGATGACGGGACAAGAGCTGCACATGATACTTAAGTTGTGGGTGAGCCATGCAATTTATGCATTGTCATAATTATGTCCTGGTTTGTTCTCTATTTCTTTTCTAATAATTCTTGGTATTTCATTCGCTTTTTGATCTGCTGCCTAGCAACAAGGTGATGTTATCATGGAACTGCGTGGTCTTATTCCTCAGTGTTAATAGGCTGCTCAAAGCCTCTCATTCTGTATGACAACATAGGACCACTTTTTCCACATGCATCACTTTGTTTCTACCTACAATGAATATCATCTGACATTTTACTGCATAATTACTAAACCTCATACAGCCTTTCTCCCATTCCCCCCCCAGCTAGACCTCCTCCTTACTACCCTGAACATTTTGTATCACTAGCCTAAGTTTTTTCCAACTGTCTGCCTCCTGGTTTTGGCCAGATGTTCATCCATGTGATGACTTGACTTGATCAACTTAATCAGGGTTGATGACTCTTATAAAAAACGACAAGAAATCTATAAGCAAGTCTTCATCTTACAGAAAAATTATTTCATCACAATTATTAATTTGTCTGGTAGAGACAACACATTAACCTGCTTCCAGTTCTCAAGGTCCCCAGAGAAATTGGGCTTTGGCATCACAGTTACACCTTCCAGTACTACAGAACTGAAAAACTGCACAGTACTGTTAGAAATCCAGCTATTTTACTTTAAAATTTCCTCAGAGCTCTTATGAATACCAGTTAGTCTTGGTAATTTCTTTGTGCTCAACTTGCCCATTTCTGTTGTAACTTTGTGATTTCTTCAACTCCAGACAAACTCTTTCCACATGTCTCCCAGCAGGACTACAACTTGGGAATCTACAGAGTTTCTTATAGCTTTCTTAAGTTCTCTTTCATATTGCAGTCATTGGCTGTCCTACAGGGACATGTCCTGCATTTTCAGCCTTTTGTATACTGGAAAAAGACTTCGCAGTAGTAGCATTGCTCAACATATTAACTGAAGTTCCACAAACTGGACTTTTTTCTGTAGAAGATATATAAATGTTACACCAGAATATAGCCATTTGACTTCTTGTCACTACTTTGCTAACTGCAGGGAAAACCTAACCTCATTCCTGTTGCGGTTTAAACCTAGCTATGGTATGGATGTGCTGTGGTATGGAATGCCTCTTTGGCTAGCTTGCGTCAGGTGTCCTGTCTCTGCTTCCTCCCGGCTTCCCCTTCTCCCTGGCAGAGCATGAGCCTTACAAAGTCCTTGGTCAGGGTAAACATTACTTAGCAACAACTGAAAACATCGGTGTTATCAGCACTGCTCCCAGGCTGAAAGTCAAAACACAGCCCTGCACCAGCTACCAAGAAGAAGAAAAATTGACTGCTACTGCTAAACCCAGGAAAATTCCCCACAGACGGAGGCAAATATATACCAATTTCAGGGGCTGTCACATGAGCAGTAAAAATGTATGCAAGTAATTTTAAGGCTGGGATCACTGCAGTAAAGCCAAGTGTACTTTTACACATTACACAGGATTCTATTAAAAAAAAAAATAAAATTTTTCAATGTGCAGCAATGAATTAGGTGTTGAACAGTAATTTTAAGGAGCAGACTACATGAATACTAATCAATAATCTGCATCCTGTTAGCAGACCCTAGAAGGTCAAAAGTAGTTAGTAAAAAGAGTATTAATAAAGTATTAATAACATGTTCTAAAAGAATTTCCACTCATGCTAATGATATCTGAAACAATTAGTTACAAATTCAAAAGGAGAATCAAGTCTATATCTCCAATGGACTGCATGCTATGATTTTATCATCAAAATAAAGAGAAAAAGAGACAATGGCATTTAGAAGCATCTTCTAGGCTTGTAACTGAGTTTTCCAAATAAAAAAACAAAGATACCCCAGAGACTTCAAAAGCCCTTCAGCTCCTTTGCAATTGAGCTTGTTCTTCTGGTTACCACTCAGCTCCTCCTTAGCTAGATTTGATATTAAAGCAGGAATGCTGCACTTACATACTTTGAACTTTACAGAAGACTACATCATTAACAAATGAAATACCTCAGCCAGCCGTGGAAGATGGTAAAAATCAGTAAATCAATTTCCTAAAACAAACTTTTTTCCAATACTATTTCTGGCAGTAAGGAGGAAAAAAAAGAGGTTGTATTCAGGTATGAAAACTTTAAAATCAGCACTGGTAGTAAGTGAGATCTTTTACATAATACTCAAAAAAGACTTACGCAAAACAAATGGTTTTAACACCACATAAACAACATTAAAGCACTTTTCCCAAGAACAAGACGTAGAAATAGTTTCATTTATTTCTTGTTTTGAGAATGAGTATTCAGGTAAATCTGACCTGCATACCTTCACAACTTTTTGGGCTATGTGAGCTTTGCTATAAAATCATAGCACCTCAAAAATGTTGTTTCTAGTTACAGTGCCTTTACTCTGCCCAAAATGAGCGGAACGCAAAGACTTATTTTCTTGTGTAAAGAAATGTGAACTACACAGGCCTCAAACAGCAGGGTGGTTAACATGGCCAGCTTCTACAAAACACATCAGACAAGCACACACATGGCTTCTGGGGCTTCCTACTGTACAGATGCATTAGGAGCAAAGCGCTGTCTGAAAACAGCTGACTCTTGTCACACCAGTCCTACCACCTAAACTGACAGCACAGCTAACAAAACTGTCCCCGCTCCCAAATGAGCAACTAAAAACTCTTCCTATTGACAAGAAATACAGGCTTCCAACTCAAGATACCACCTAGGGAGACTCTTCCTTTAAGGAATGCAAACACCGACGAATGACATCATCATACTATTCCTAGCACTTTTGACTTCAGCTGCTTTTTTGGGGCATGATAACATTCCACCTACAGCCTAGGCTAGGTGCTAACAAGATTGGGATTAGAATTTGAGAAATCTCAGTTCAAACTTATTTTCCTCTGCCCTCATGGAATTAATGCTAGGCATGTGATTAATACAGTTGCTCCCGCAGGGTGAAGAGATTCAACAATGAACAGTGTAGGAAGATAAAGCTTGCAGCCATGATGACTGCTGTTTCTGCATTCCAGCCATGAACAGTTTCAGACATCAAATTGTACCAGCTATTCCCACAGATGCCTCATATATACTCTGTGGTGTAGAGGGAAGGAGCCACACGAACACCAGAAACTCATGGGGAAAGCAGGTATGTGGCTTTGTCTACTGGTCCTGCATTTCAAAATTCCATTTCATTTAATTACCACAACACTTTTGGATCACAGAACCTCTTCAGGCTCAAGAGAGACATATGTACTTTTTGCTTTAGTTATGCAGATCACCAGCTTGGATTAAGAGGCCCTTGACTTGTCACCTTGCCCCTCCACACACTAAATGCCTCGTACCTACAACTTTTCCACCTACCAACATATAGTGGCATACTGATAATACAGAAAATAAGCAAGCCCTGTATCTGCAGGCACTAACCTCATGTCATCTGCGGTCAGTACAGCACCATCAGGCTTACTCTAAGAAAGAGAGGCTCTCTACATCTTAGAAATCATAGAATAATAAAATGGATGGGGTTGGAAAGGACCTTAAGATCATTTAGTTCCAATCCTGGGCAGGGACACCTCACACTAGACAACAGCTCCCAAGGCCTCATCCAACATGGCGTTGAACATTGCCAGGGATGGGGCATTTACCATTTCTTTGGGCAGTCTGTGCCAGTGCCTCACCACCCTCACAGTAAAGAGTTTCTTCCCTGTATCTAACCTGAACTTCCCCTGCTGAAGTTTGAACTTATTACCTTTCATCTTATCACTACAGTCCCTGATGAAGAGTCCCTCACCAGTATTCCTATAGGCCCCCTCCAGATACTGGAATGCTGCTATAAGGTCTCCACGCAGCCTTCTCTTCTCCAGGCTGAACAGCCCCAACTTTCTCAGCCTATCTTCTTACAGGAGGTGCTCCAGTCCCCTGATCATCCTCGTGGCCCTTCTCTGGGCTTGTTCCAACAGTTCCAGGCCCTTATGTTGAGGACACCAGAACTGCACACAATACTCCAAGTGAGGTGTCACGAGAACAGAGTAGAGGGCCAGGATCACCTCCTTCGACCTGCTGGTCATGCTCCTTTTGATACAGCCCAGGATATGGTTGGACTTCTGGGCTGCAAACGCACACTTAAGCCGGCTCATGTTCATTTTCCCATCAACCAACACCCCCAAGTCCTTCTCCGCAGGGCTGCTCTTAACCTCTTCTCCACCCAACCTGTAGCTGTACCTACGATTGCCTCAACCCAGGTGTAGGACCTTGCATTTGGCTTTGTTGAACTTCATGAGGCTGGCACTGGCCTCTCAGAAATTCCTCCCCTAAATACATATTTAATTAATCAATATAGTAAGGTTAATGACATCAAAAAAGACAATGGAAGCCTCCTGATCTTTCTTTTTGCTCTCATTCTGAAAAGAAGCACCACTACTTAAATCCCTCCCAAACCACCTGACAAAGGTGAAGAAGTTACCTCTTTCCTCCACATTCTACAGCAAAAATCAATGACAACTAAAGGTAACACCTAAAATAACCAAGCAGGAACAACTCACTACAAGATCTATTTGTGTAGGATTTTTAAAAAAAATATAATTGTTCACTTTATTGCCGATTTACAAAATTCAGTGAACTCTTAAGACAAATTAGATGTTCTACTGTAAAGAAATTTCCACCATACTGTGTTTAACTGCTTTAACTGAAGTTTTGTATTATACACATTAGGAAGAGGCTGTAATTATTTGAAAGCACACATGCTTCAGGCAGAAAATACCGTTCTTGAGCTCACAAGTTTGTCACATTGAATTGGGGAAAATTGCTGGAACTTTTATCAACTGGGAAACTGCAACAACTGATACATTTCAGCTAAATACATAGAACTGTACAAAAGTAGTAGTTATTAGGGTAACTAGAAGTCAACAGCTTTTGCTCAGTAGCAGTCCTCTAATGAAGAACATTAAACAGAAAAGCTGCTACCGTTTGGCACCTACACTAAGAACTAGTTAGCTGGTGATCATAAGCAGGAAGGAAAGGTTAAAAAGAAAGTACCCAAGTGGCATATTCGCAAATTTTTAAGAGCATTAAGGCAGCTTTTTCAACTTTCAACTAACTTTAAGGCCAGTGCTTGCTTTTAATTAAAGTTTTAGTTGACATACAACAGGTTAAGAGGGAATTGCTGTTTTGTCCTGTCTTAATTCCTTCTCTGCTCTTCTCTGCAGAGCATTCTGGAACATCTCAGCTATAAAACAGAGCATAAAATCTAATATTACTGTACTGTAGCACTGTCTTAGCCTGTGGGAATTTTCATAAAATTGCAGTAAGCAAACAGAGCAGCCTACAGTGATATTTCTGCAGATCTTGAAGATATTATTCTTTTATTTCCCAAATTATTGATACAGGACATTACCATTTTTTTTTTGTAAGCAACTTAAATAGACAGTTAAAATTATTTCTACTGTGTCAATATCAATCAAGCCAAAAAAAACGCTTAAATCCCCATCTGTTTCTTCTCCCCCAGTCTGTTCTCCCCCAGTCTGTCTTTTCTCCCATTGTTTCACTAGCAGCTGAAAACCCAGGTTGCTTCTCTTTTGGGATAGATGTTTCAGCTTGAAATAAAGAATTACAGGAATCAGAATAGGTCTTGCTATATTGCTAGCAGTGTTAGGTGACAAAAAGCAGCATTTTCTACAGAGAACAAATTCAGGACTTATCATAAGCCTGCTTGAGTTTAATCAGAGAAACAGTAACAGATAACTTGTAAAAAAGGTAAATTACATTAAAGTGGAAAAAAGAAAGGGGTTTTCCTCAAGTAAACTACGCATCTCTTGAACAGGAATCAATGTACAAATAATTCCCAAATGTGAGGATTCAAGAACAGAAACAGAGCTTCCTAAGGTCAAGAAAAGTTTTGAAACCTAAGCTTGTATTTTTAGTGCATTTTGACTAGATTCTATTGCCAGAATATAATATACATCAAGGTACCCTGAAATCAGTTTGGTGCAGAATGCAGAATATTCAGGACAGTACCTCCAGCTTTGGTCACGTACTTCCAGAAGAGATGGAGAATTCCACAACTAAAAATCTCAGACATGCCTTGGCTCTGTCTTTCAGTTAACACTGTTGCTGAACACAATGTTTTTCCAGTGACTTCTGTTCAGTCTGACTTTAGCTTTCTCATCTGATTGGGCTTCCAGTATTCCCCTTCAGAGACTGCAGAATAATCTCTTTAAATATCACTCATTACTAAAACATTTTTTCCCTTGATAAGCTGAATAGAAGTCTTTATCTTAATTCTCCTATACTGTTAGTCAATAATACCCATGCATAATCCTAAATATATTTTGACAATGTTCAGATAGTTTTATGGTCTTTAGAACTACAGAGAACATATTGTACAACAACAACAACAAAAAATAAAACAAAAAAAAACAAATAAACCAATTAAAACAAAAAAAGGCACAGTTCAGGACTGAAGTGTGCATTTTATTTCTGACAAGCTTTTATATGTACAGCAGTTCCAATGATATTTTTCTGTTAGAGATTACTGATGTACTTTTTCATTACTACTCTATTACAGTAGGATACATCACCAAAAGCAAGCAATTGAAACTTCTTATGTATGGCAAAATACATTCCAATGCCTACCACTGGAAATCACGTCTACTTTTACCATTTCCAATTGCTGCCTTTTGTAAGTCTGTATCTTTTGAGTAATACTGACAAACTTAAGAGGAGGTCAAACAAGATACAGTATCATCATTGCCTTTATTTAGGCATAGATGCAATTTCCTTCCTGCATACAGTCCAACAAATGAGATCCCATAAAGAAAGAATATTACACACATGTTGAAGTGCTTAGGGGGCTATAGCCCTAGGTTTTCATATTGAAAGGAACATCACAAAGTCTGATGCGCTGCTCAAAGAACTCTCTTTGCTTAGATGGTAAGAGATGCAAATTTCCAGAACACATACTTGTGATCCATGGTATCTTTTGAAGATATCCCACTAGGGAAAATCAGCACATACAGGAATTATGAAATTAGGGCTGATTCATCTGCTTGTTCAGAGATACAGGAATAACTCAACTCAGTGCCAAAGAACTTTTTGTCTGTTAACTAAATTTCCTTCCAAAAAGTACTTAATTAGGTTTTATTATTTAACATTGTCTCTTTGGAAGAAAAGATGGTGCTTGGAATAAAATGATGTAAAAATGGCTTAACAAGGAGATGCTAGTCCTTTACTAGACCTGATATGTTTAATGCCTGCTTGGGATGCTCTTATAGGGAGTCAAAGACATGGATTTACATACCTTTAAGGGAGAAGGGGAATCAGAGCCTAGTTTTTGCACATTTGAGTGCTTCCTGCTCTGCAACCACATCTTTCTATCACAAATAACCTAGGCATCTAACTTTGAACTTTCTTGTTGTGCTCCACATCACATCAGTTCTTTTTATGAAGGTCCCTATTTGGCTAAAGTTCACAAACAGTCAACTTGTTCTTGAACAGCACAGGCCTTTTCGGGAGGAATTGCAGGTTGGTAAGCATTATTTTCAATATTCACAAATGTGCCCAGGTCTGACTGGTTACCACAGAAGTAGAAAATCTTTTGATCATCAGAACTAACATTTCACATTGGGAGTGACTCTTCAATGTGTCCTATACACCCTCATCCTGCAAGTCTTGCACAGAAAAACTTCAATAACATGTGCCTCACTTAGCAATCTACTTGACCTAGACTCACATTTAAGCTCATTTTTAGACTACAAGTGGAATCATGTTTATTTAGTAAAGGGGGGTGAATTCCATCTTCAAAGAAACCTTACTGAAAAGGAAAGGAAGCATGATACTGGCCACTTATTATATTTGATTATGGGATGTGTTATGTTTTACATGATTGTAGTGAGCTTATTTTCTTGCAAAGCCAGGCACACAAAAATAGAAGTCAGGCAACTCAAACATATCTTTCTTAAGTATTTTCTTGGCTTTTGTTTTCTTCCCCAAAAGTTTCTGAGAAAGGCTGAGGTCTAACACACATCTGAAATAACATTATAGCAATACTTTCAAAACACAAGCTAAATAATCACACTCTTGGTTTATTGCAAACCAATCTGAATCCTTAGTAAGTGGTTAATGAATTCAACCAGAACCCCTAACTGGTACTAACAGTAGCTTCTTTTGACACACTACTGAATTGTGCTTATAGTCTACTTTAGAGACAAATCCTATTTTAACACACTGGGATGCCTTTTTTTTTTTTTTATAACGTAATTATCTGTTGCCTGGAAGTAATGGAAACTATTAAGTACATAGACTAAAGTGAATGGAGAATTTTACTGTTGTTCTAAGTTCAAAAGCCATCTATTCTCTTCAGATAGAGAAATCTTTCTGATTTTCTTTTTGTCACCAAACTTTGAGAAAGCCAAGTTCAAATTTTATTGTGGGAGACCAATTACTAGAGAAAAAAATAATATATGATGTACAGGCATCTCCTCATGTCTCTTATTGCCCATTTTGTCCATAAGCACACATTTGTTCAGATGTAAAGCTGTTATTTTGCAGTTAATCCAAAGCTCAAACATCCAGACTAGCATAACTACATACTGCTGAGTCACAAAGAAATGATTCACAGAATTCTTTTTCCCATTTTTCCTGGTTATGTTGTCTTTATTTGTGGCTTAAATAAATTGTCTTACTAACATGCATAAATAATAATCGTAGCATCAGTAATACAAATCAATGCATACAAGAAGTGACTCACTAGCTTGTTGATGGTGCTCTTCATTCTGGAATGGGCTGAATTCATAAGTAGACATTTTGCTTTTCAATAAAAAAGTCAAAACATTGTCCAGCTTCTCCACAGAAGAAAATTTAAAAGCCTGTTAAAAAAAAAAAAAAAAGAAAAAAAGAAAAATTGTTACATATGTATTTTTAACTTTACACTCAGGGCATTAGTGAGTAAAATTACTCAAATCAATTGATTATTACAAACTCACTTTTAGTAAGAGCAACATAGGTTTTGAAAGCTTCAGAAGACATACTCTAACATAGAAGCATCATGATAACACAATCCAACTAAAGAAGAACAGGTGTAACAACTTCCGAAGTTCAGCCACAACTAAGAACTTCTGTATGAAGGGTAAGGACAGGAAGATTTGTGTTTAGCAACTCTCTATTTAGCTACAACAATGAAGTGCAATCAGGAGCTGTTCTAACAGTTGCAAGGTGCTAGGAAATCCAAGGTCTTAGTACAGCAGCAATTCAGGATGAGCATAAAGACTACAGTAGCTCTGTTACATTAAGATTGCATACACTGCCCAGTAGGAAACAGCTTCAATTCCATCAGGCTAGTCATAACATCACTGACAGATTAAGCAACTGATAGCCGTCAGTTAGATGACTCACTGACTGCCATGAGATCTTTTTTTGATTGTCTCTTTCTGGACAGAAGGCCAAGATCAAGAAGGCTAATGACTCAAGGTAGCCAAGCTTTGCTTGGTGTGACAAGAGAAGCACAACTACAGAGATTTTAACAGTAAGAGTATTTTACCTTGAGTACTATGCCAGTAGTCCAGTCCGTGCTGCACTGAGCACCAAAAGTTGTTCAGCCACAGCAGAGAAGCGCTCAGGAGGAATAGGTTTATTCTGCTCAGATGTCAGCAGCCCTGCATTAAAGTTTGTTTTCCCATACCTGAACTGTTTCTAGCCAAGACAATTCTGGGAGTATCTACAGACACAATTCGAATATAAACTTAAGAACTCCATGAATGACATGCTGAGGAGAAAAGAACAGAGGGGTCCTACTGATGCAACATGAAGATTAATTCCCAAGACTGTCAGAAGTAAGAAAATAAGTGTGATGTGATCAGAAAATGTTGAGGACACAGGTAGGATATAATTTTCATCTGAGTCCTGCCCAGAATTAGAGTCATAGAATCATAGAATAATCAGGGTTGGAAAGGACCTTAAGATCATCTAGTTCCAGCCCTCCTGACATGGGCAGGGACACCTCACACTAAACCATCTCACCCAAGGCCTTGTCCAACCTGGTCTTGAACACTGCCAGGGATGGAGCATTCACAACCTCCCTGGGCAACCCATTCCAGTGCCTCACCACCCTAACAGGAAAGAATATCACACAGTTTCACAGTATTCTAGAGATTGGAAGGGACCTCAAAAGATCATCTAGTCCAATCCCCCTGCTCGAGCAGGAACACCTAGATAATCTTACACAGGAATGTGTCCAGGCGGGTTTTGAATGTCTCCAGGGAAAGAGACTCCTCCTTATATCCAGCCTAAACTTCCCCGGTTTAAGTTTTAACCCATCACCCTTTGTCCTATCACTACAGTCCCTGATGAAGAGTCCCTCCCCAGCATCCCTATAGGCCCCCTGCAGATACTGGAAGGCTCCACGCAGCCTTCTCTTCTCCAGGCTGAATAGCCCCAACTTTCTCAGACTATCTTCATACGGGAGGTGCTCCAGTCCCCTGGACTTGTTCCAACAGTTCCATGTCCTTTTTATGTTGAAGACACCAGAACTGCACACAATACTCCAAGTGAGGTCTCATGAGAGCAGAGTAGAGGGGCAGGATCACATCCTTCGACCTGCTGGTCACGCTCCTTTTGATGCAGCCCAGGATACAGTTGGCTTTCTAGGTTGCGAGCGCACACTGAAGCTGGCTCATGTTCATTTTCTCATCAACCAACACCCCCAAGTCCTTCTCCGCAGGGCTGCTCTGAATCTCTTCTCTGCCCAACCTGTAGCTGTGCCTGGGATTGCTCCGACCCAGGTGTAGGACCTTGCACTTGGCATGCTTAACTTTCATGAGGTTGGCATCAGCCCACCTCACAAGCGTGTCGAGGTCCCCCTGGATGGCATTCCTTCCCTCCAGGGTATCAACCGAACCACACAGCTTGGTGTCATCGGCAAACTGGCTGAGGGCGCACTCAATCCCACTGTCCATGTCAGCGACAAAGACGTTGAACAAGACTGGTCCCAACACCGATCCCTGAGGGACGCCACTCGTTACTGGTCTCCAGCCGGACATTGAGCCATTGACCACAACTCTTTGCGTGCGGCCATCCAGCCAGTTCTTTATCCACCGAGTGGTCCACCCATCAAATTGATGTCTCTCCAATTTAGAGACAAGGATGTCGTGTGGGACAGTGCAGAATGCTTCCAGGTAGATGACATCAACTGGTCTATCCTTGTCCATCAGTTCTGTGGCCCCATCATAGCAGGCCACCAAATTGGTCAGGCAGGATCTCCCCTTAGTGAACCCATGCTGGCTGTCACCAAGCACCTTGTTGTTTTTCATGTGCCTTAGCATGCCTTCCAGGAGAATCTGCTCCAAGATTTTGCCAGGCACAGAGGTGAGACTGACTGGTCTGTAGTTCCCCGGGTCATCCATTTTCCCCTTCTTGAAAATGGGGGTTATACTTCCTTTTTTCCAGTCATTGGGAACTTCATGAACATGAAGACAAGTTCATGCAGGTAGGGAGCTACTATTAATAAAATATGATTGTTTGTTTTTTCCGTAATTAATACTAGCCCTTCCAATATTGCTTATGAAACATGGAAGTGATTATGCTTAAGAACCTGTAACCTATTTCTTTCTATAAGTCATCCTTTCTGTACTGTCACATTATATTCCCTGTATTTGTTCTTCAAGAATTATGAGTATATGGTTTAGTTCTCAATAACCAAAGCAATCAGCATTTAAAAAAAACACCCCCAAAACAAAAAACAAAACTAACCCCCCAAAAAGTCTCTACCTTTACTTTCAAGAATAAAGATATAACCTGAATATCAGACTCACAGTGTGAACTGAGAAAGGAGATGCAAAAACCGCCAAAACATCTGTAACACCCTCCACCACCTTATTAATACCTACATTATGCTTAAAAGTTAACATCAAATTTTATTTAGCAAACAACATTATTCTCTCTTATTCCAAGAGGGTCTTCTTAGATATGGTATCATCATTGGTACTACCTTAAAAGAGTTCAATCTAGAATAAGACAAAAATAAGTAGTAACATAGGAACTAGCTCAGATGAGTGCATATGCAGATACTGTGCCATGAAGAAAGACTCAAAACCTGCGAGCCTGAATACCAGTGAAGAACTGGTATTCACTGAAGCAACTCCATAGCAGAAATTCAACTATATAGAGAACATATAGGTGGGCTTCTAGGTGAAATAAACCTGAAGAAATATTTTCAATTTCCATTTGAAATGGCAGGGACACCCCTTACACATTTTTCTACCTACTAGTCCTCTCTGTTCCAAAAGAAATGAACAAAGAGCCTCTTATCAGTTGTCCTGAAATGCCCTAGGAGCAATTTCAAACAGAATTCATTTCAGACTGTCTTGTACTTTAAAGCTAAATAAACAACTCTCAGTCTCTTTTCAACAAGCACTCAGAGTAATCTTGCCTACAAAGCTCCTCTGCTTTTTAATACAAGCTGCGGCAGAAAACCTTCCTTCTCTCTTTTTATTCAGTCAGAAATCCAGGGAGGAGTACCTTAAGAGCTTATAGCTCCTTGTACTCAGACAAACAAATTTACATGGGATAAAACAATGTTTCACAATCAGAAAGGGAGCAATTCTTTGAAATAAGAGCAGCACACAACTTCAAGAACTTACAGAAAAGTTTTTAAGGTCATAAATAGTTGCGTAGCTTCACCACATCAGGCTAGCTAAGTTTTACAAGAGATTGAGACAGAAACTAGACCTTCCTGATCTCCCAAAGGGAGCAGATTAAATTGAAGCTCAATTTCTCATGCTTTAACAGGCCTGCCTTCCGGTGACCAACCTACCCACTTCCATGATTTCAAAGTCAGGCACAATACCTTTCTCATACAGCCATCAATGGAACTTGCTTCAAGTTTTCCACCTCAATGTTTTTCTCTTAGTCCAGGGATCTAGAAGCTGAAGGCTCTAGCAATGATTTAACAAGCTATCTTGTTAACTAAAGGATAATGTGTAGCTTTGTTTTGCTACTCTACAGCAGAGTTATTTAAAAAAAAACAAACACCTAAAGTCTATGCTCAGGTCTTTCCACACATAAAGTCTGTTTCAGTACTTACATGAAAATAACAGCTGAAATACCAGTGAAAACAGAACAGCAATAGGACTACACTGCACTATCTAGCTTTATACCAACATATAGGTCACCTCCACCAAGGAATGCCATTTAGAGACTTTTACTTTACTGCCCATTCCAGCTCCAGAGCACTCACAGACTCTAAGTATGCTGCATTTACATATTTCAATGTGTACCCTACACAGGTCTTTATAGGCCCATGAAATCTTCACAATAAATCCCTCCAACACTATGTACCTAAACTTCACACTGAAGCTTCACCAAAGCCAACAGAAGTAGAACTGTGCTTAAAGTGCATTGCAAGAGAACACTGAGCCATGCATGAGTTTAGAAAAGCCCACATTTTATCTGAGTAAAGATTTAAAACATGGCAAAAAAGTAAAATCACTATATTCTCCCTGCATGCTTACAGGCAAGTTCTTCTTTTAAGGAGCCACACATAATTAAGGTAACGGGCCTGTAGGCAATTCTTGTCACGCTCTCTGAAGCACAACCAGCTTCTCTCTGCTCCATGCTTCCATCCTAGTCCTTCTGCAAGAGCTACTACCTATCCCAAAGCTCGTCACCACCAGCTTGTCCTTGTTCAGCACCACCTCCCCAGGTGTAGGCACTATCTCCACTCCCTCCCCCTTTTCAAAGCAACAAGACACAGCTGCAAACAACAGAGAAGCCTCATCACACCTGGGTTTCCAAAAATCATCCTTGAAAAGGACAAGACCAAGCACGTATTTTACTACTTTTGTGAACAAAATTATCTACATTTTTTAATAACTGCTAACAAAGCTCTGAAAATATCCGCCACTGAAACGCAGTGAGTAAAATAATATACTTCTCCATGGCTTTAGCAATACTAACAAGGTTAAATTTAGATAAAGATGAACTTCTTCAGTGGTTCTTATATATATATATCAGACACTACTTTGTACACACTTCAGTATCTAGATTTCTACCAAAAAGAATGGGCAAAGCTTAAAAATCACTTAGGCATTTCTGACAATTTTAGCCAATGATAGAATATGAAGAGATTTCATACGTAGAGGAAATAAAAGAAACACTTTAATATAACAGCCGCTGACGTGGCTTAGAGGATTGAAATATTAAAAAAACTGTTTCAAAGGAAATATCTCTGGGATCAGGTAAAGGTGCATGCATAATATCACCACATAAGTCATATAACCATTTCTTACAAGTTTTCATAGAAAAGGCTGCAGTTTATTTTTATTCTTCATTTTCACTATAATTGGAATCCTGTTTGATGAATATAATAAAAAAAGTCCTTTAAGGTATCAAGTCTTGCAGAATCATAGGAGTATTATTCAACCAAAGTCTCTCATAAAGACTCCCTGAATCTCTCCAGATCTTCTGAATCACTCAAACTAACATAAACCTATCAATTTCAGTAATAAGGATATGACCCTAGCTTCAATTTTGTTTACAGAACCTAAGAAACCTGTACCTGAAAACCCAAACACTAAATAATGCAATCAATAGCTGCATTTGATAAAGTCTGAGAGAAAAATCAATACAGCATGTAAATCCAGGCGAATGTTGAAATGAGAAGTTGATGAAAAGTAAACTATGAAATATGAAAAAGTTTATTTATGAATTATAGGAACCTTAAAATCAGTCTGATCACTGGGTTACTGTAAGTACTGCCCAAGAGAAGGTTTTTTTTTTTACGCAAAATTGTATGAAGAGAGAGAACAAGAAAATTCACAGCCTTCAGCCAATACCTACCCTCATATATTCTGACAGCAAGGAAGTTCAGCATTATGATTCAGCTGTTATAATCCCAACTCTTCCTACTTTACTAAAAAATTTCAACTGTTTTTTCTTTCAAAACTTATGCAGACATTTATTTCATTTTTTACAATATTTATTTCCATACAATTTAAATATTTATTTCACTGTTTCAAATGTCTTACTAATGTTGGTAAAAGCTTTTTAAATTTTGAGAAATTTGGAACACAGAAAATTACAATCTACCAGATGTGGCAAAGAATTTAATCCAAAAACATGACTGGAAAAAAAAACCTTAGAATATTTAATCTAAAATATGGCTAGTGTTAATCTCTATAGTATTAATATATTGCTCTTTAAAGAGACAAATTCTAAGTGCAGCAGTACCTTTCTTTGTTGGTCTCAAACTAAGATACACAAACTGACCTGACCATCAGTAAAAAGAATGGATAGGTGTAAGCCTATTTGTTGGAGTTTGTTTATATGTTTGACTTTAGTGGGGGACAAAGTGAAGAAGGGGACAATAATCTCAATGATGATGGCATCTCAAAGTAACTGGAAGAGCTGGCAACACAGGATACAATACAGTGAAAGCATTTTACCAAAGCACAGTGGTATACATTACTGTAGCAATTTGCTTTCTTCACAGAATTTTAATGAGGAGATACTTCTCGGATTGCAAGCATTTTTTAAAATCTTGAATTTCTCTTTGAACTACAGAATGATATTGCCTTGATCAATAATTGCTGTAAGCTCTTCTATTTTATTTCGGTTTTGTTTTCCATTGTGTTTGGTTGGTTGATTGTTATCCACAGATAAATGACTGTTGCCCCAGGATACTTTTGCAAATAAGCTGATAGTCTCAAAGGTTTCAATTATCCTGGTTACATAACAGTTACTACTACTCCTGCTACTTGATGGGAATACTAATTATTATCAAATCTGTTTTGTTTTTCCTTGTGTGAACATATTTTTAAAGATTAAGTTACATCATGCTCTCTCAATTGGATCTTTACAATGTATCTTATTGCCATTAAATCAGGTTTACGTGAGAGCTGGAAGTATTTTAAAAGTTTGTGGCAAGTTTTGCTACCTAGCTAGTTAGTGTACCTCACTCCGTGGCCCAGTAGGTACCATTAAGTATGATGACAAATCTTCCAGCACATATGTACACTTACAAAAAGATTACCATTAGTAATCCTGTACTCACAGAGCAGCCAAGATACTGTGCAGATTGTACAATTTACCTGATTGTAAAGATTTTCTCGGCATTAATCTTTCAGTTGCCAAAACAATAGAATTAAGAACAGGAAAACACGATCACCTTATTTAAACCCTTGCTTATTATCCAGATGAGAAATCGTGAAACATGCCTGATAGTCATAATACCACAGTTGTATTTCCTGGTGTGCACTACTGCTCTGCACAGAATTACTTTTGCATTTGAATATAATTTGAATTGCAAGTGTCTTACTAAGTATTAGTCATGCTGGTTAAGTGAAGGGTCAAACTGCTAAATAACACAAACAAATCTCCAGTGGAAATACCAGGTGTGTTGTAGGTATCTAGGTTACCACTGTAGTTTTTAATCATTATTACACGCTTCTTATGCATAAAATTGTAGATGAAACCTGCTAGAAACTTACTTCCATGTCTTTCAAAATACAGGCTAAAGAATGATGGTTATCATGAAGATTTTAAGAATGTACTTATACTTAAGAGTTGCACTATTTTTTTTGTGTTTTCTTAGAACCCAAAACGACTTGTACTTGGAAGGAATCTACCCCCATCCTTAATAGAACACTAATAATGCAATACATCATTTTTTATCAATCCTTTTGTTATGAGTGTAATGCCTTAGGTGGTAGATAAGGTAGATTTGTCACAGGAAAATGAGACTGTCTGCACTGGAAACACAGACTATTATTTTTGTTCTGGCTTTGCAATTACAATATAGACATCATGACAAGCTTGCTTGGGCTACCCACCATTCAAAAAATGGTACTTGAGATTCCATCCTTTCTTAATAGATGCTTTCTTTTCTTATTATTTTGTATATGCCATTGGCAAAGGACATATTGCAAAGCACTCAGCTCAAAACCTGAATTTTTCTAAATATATGCAAAGAATCTGCATGGCAACCAGCAAACCACATGAATGATAATTCAGCAGCTATAAATGGACTCTGCATGAATAGCAACCTACTGCGTTCCATACAAGCTATGCCAGAAAAATCCCGTTTGCTCGTGAATGAGTAATAACCCTCCAAGTACAACGTGATTTAAGATTACTTGCTTCTACCAGTTTCAGAACACACTAAAAAGAACACTTTCAGTGGAGAGGGACATCATTGTTGTTTGTTATTTTCATCCTCTGTAATGCAGGATGCTGTTAATTGGGCATATACAGCACACAGTTTATATCACCCTCTAAACAAAACCAAAATAGACATAAAATTTGTTTTCACTTGCCTAACTTGCTTTAGAGCTAGACATCTCAAAGACACTCTTTCTGTAATCATAAGCCTGTTACGGAGCCATTACCCATTACAGTGCAATCAAAAGATTGTGTATTATGTCTTAGCTCATATATGCACTTGTGTTCTTCCTTTTTTTTTTATTTTAATTAAAAATGTAGAAGTAAACTTACCTGACAAGTGAAAGCTATTGGGTCAGCCACTTTCTTAAAAATGTGCTCAATCTCCTCTAGTGTAGTATAGTACTCAATCTGTGCTGTGGTCTTCACGACTCCTCCACAATACACATTTACATAAACAGGGCCAGCAGGAAAATCTTTTAAAACACAATCAGAACAGTAGCTTAAAATATTTTAACAGGCCCAGACCAGAGGGCTCAGGGAATGGGTAAAACCCAGGAAAATCTCACAGAAAATGCATACAGCCAATGAACTGGATTTACGTTTCAGAGATGATTCACTGTAGTCAATTTTTTATCCAGGTCTTTCAGTCTAACATTAAAAAGCTGGCAAAAGAAAACATGTATCTGTAAATCTGTATAGAACAAAGCTACTGCGTTACTTCACGTTAGAAAGGAGATGAAACCAGTATGCTTCAAATTTTCAACTTCCCTTTGATAGACTGATGACCTGTAATCAGCTCCCTTATGCCTACAGATTAAGGAAAAGTTCATTTATTACAAATAGTGGAATTGCTATTCATCTTTTGAAACTTTTTTCTTAATTGCAGGCAAGGTTCTCAAAATTGAATTTCAACTAGGCTGCAGAAATTGCAGTATAATTATTTCCATTCCAGTTGTTTACCTAGTGAAAGCAAAAGAAAGTATTATTTCTACAGTCTGTTACGTTAGTATGGCCTGCTCTGTGTATGCAGCGTGAGCCCTCTTTATAAGCACATTTAGAATTCATTAGTATTCATTGTGCCAGGCATCCTGCTGTACCACGCCAGTACTAACCCGGTTTTCTTAGAATTCTAACTCTGCCCACAAAAAGAATAAAAACGGGCAACCCTGAAAATGAAGAGGAGTAATAGTGCCAAAGAAACTAAATGAATAGAACATCACCTTAAATCACTTCAATGGAAACTGCCTTCCCCCCCCCCCCCTTTTTTTTTTTATTTCTGACATGAGATCATGTGGATCCTTACTAAAAAGGGTACTCCAAACTTCCAACTTTCCCAGATTTTGAAACAGAAAAAAGCCCTCAGAGAGAACAATTAAATACAAATGATAAAAGAAACAAAATTAAACTCAGTCTGTAGCTCTCTGCCAAATTTTTTCAGAATATTTCATTTACTGTTCATATTTTATGTTTTCATCCACTATAAAAGCCTTTCTGTGATCAACATTGTTGCTACAGAATAATTATGGAGGAATCTTTTAAGATCTGTGAATGAGAACTTCAGCTTTCCTTCTCTGAAATCCAGTTACAGATGGAAGTTTCCAGCTGGTCATGTACTTCCCAATCAGGTCTCTAAAAACAAACTCTCTGCACCACCAGAGCGATAAAGAACTCTCAGACCATATGCAACCATCATCTCAGAACAGTATTCAGGATAAAAATCAGGCCACAGAATTTCCCAATTGTAGTTCCAAGAAGCAACTGTTGCAAATTTTAGCCTATAGGTATATATTTCTTCCTCTCCTAGTGCAATGGCTTTAGAACAAAATATCCTATCAGTTCCTTTGGGAATTCACAACATGCAGTGAAGTAGCAAGCTACACTCTGAATACTTAGGTGAAAAATTCTTTAACTCACATCAAGTGAGTGGGGATAGGTGTGGCCCTTAAAATCTGCACCGATCTCCTAAGAGAAGCTACTGTTAAATAGCTGAAACTGTTGGCACCTAGTTATGGCTGGAGCAGTTGGAAAAAAAAAAATCATTAGAAACCGTCAGAGATGAGTGATACAGAGAAATGGCATGGACATGAACAAAGAAAATAAATTATTTCCTGTATCAGTAAGAATTTGAGAGGAATATAGCCAAATTTACTGCATTAAATATGAAATGAAACATTTTAGTAATAGAGTAATAAGAAAAGAATATTAGCTTTGCATTTTATGGCAGTGATTTTGAAGACTGTTACTGTGTGACTAATCAATGACATTTTAAGAATGCCACCTGCCATTTAACCACACAAAAACAACCTAAGAGAACCTCATTTCCCATAAATCACAAGGCCTTGCTCCTCTGCATTATTAATAAATGTTCTGTGTGCAAAACCCATATACAGGAAACACCTACAAATAGTGAGAAACGAAATTACTGATCAGAAAAAGTGAAGGGAGTCCAAAGTTTCCTACTTACTTAAAGGTAAAAAATGTTTTTCTTACCTAAGGCTTTCATGTACTTGATCTTCTTAGTCCAAGAGGCTGGCTGTGTCCTAATTCGTTGATTATCTGCTATGAATTCAATTTCTAAAGTTTCATCATCTATTTCATCTTTCAACAAAATGAATATTTCACCAGGGTTCTATAAAATTAAAATATGTTCCCATAAGTCCTTCAGCAAATTATACTGAAAGTGTAAAATGCAAATGAAAACAGAAGTTGGAAGGAAAGGTCCTTTATGAACAGTTTCACACAGAAAAATCGCAATACCAAACCATGATGCCATCTCAGTGCTCTCCTTTATCATTTTACTGATATAAATGGCACAATTAATATAGTATTTTAAACTCAGCTTACCTAATAGTAGTTTAAAACAGTATTTTAAATTCCTATGTAGGCGAATTGTTACATTTTCTAAGGCCATTCTACTTTATAGTCTACAAGAATGACATTCAGCCTGACAAGAGGAACCTAAAATACTCACTCACACTCTTACAGTGAACTGACAGTAAAGTAAGACAGAAGCAGCAGGTAATGTGAGACTATACCCCTCTACTGCCTTCTGAACCAGAGGGAATATTACTCCCTTAGAGCTAAACTGATCTCAACAATAAAATTATGTGCTGTCTCGGTTTCAGCTGTAGCAGTTTTTTTCTTCCCAGTAGCTGGTGCAGTGCTGTGTTTCAGCTTCAGTCTGAGAACAATGCCGATAATACATAGATGTTTTAGTTGTTGCTAAGTAATGCTTACCCTGATGAAGTACTTTTCAGTCTCTTATGCTCTGCCAGTGAGGAGGGGCACAAGAGGCCAAGAGAGAAGAGAATCAGGACACCTGACCAGACTAGCCTGAGGGATATTCCATACCACAGGACATAATGTCCAGTTTATAAACTGGGGGGAGTTACCCAGAAGGGCAGGTTACTGCTCGAGTCAGGCTGGGTATCAGTCAGCAGGTGGTGAGCAACTGTACTGAACATCATTTGTATTTTCTCTGAGCTTTCATTTTTTCTCTTGTTGTTTCCTATTTTTATTACTATTGTTATTGTTTGTATTCTTTCTATTATCACTATATTTTACTTTAGTTTAGTTACTAAATTGTTCTTATTTCAACTTGTGGGGTTTACATGCTTTTGATTCTCCTCCCCACCATGCCCTGGGGATGTGGGAAAATGGTGGGGGTGTGAGCAAATGGCTGCATGGTGCTGCGTTACTGGCTGGGTCTAAACCATGAAACATGCATAAATTATCTTTGAAAGACAGGTAACAAGCAAAATACATGACATTCCATGTACACTGCAACCTCCTTATCTGACTGTGGCCACTCATTTTTATAAAGGAATAGAGTGCTGGATAGTGTACTTCCTCTGTTTACATTTTACCTATTTTCTCATAGCAACTCTAATTAAAAAAACCCACATATGAACATTTGTGTCCATTGGATATGTATACAGATATGCATATATAAATATTTCTGATTTCATTTCAAATCAGACAAGGTTTATGGTCACAAAAGCAAGCACTTGCGTAACCTATGGTATGGGCACATATGCATGTACCCATATACCCATCATGGATTCTTGCCAAGACACTCCACATCTCCCAAGAAGTGCCTAACTACATACTTCCTCTAAACTACAAGGCCCACGCGACAGTAATAATCTCTGTCCAAGCTTCCAAATGATTCTAACAGAGATAAAATCCCACAGAGGCTGTATCAGAGCTATTCTATTTGTAAGTCTTTTGGCTGCAATGTGGATGTGACCCAAAGGCAAAATAAATCCCACTGCAATCTCAATGTACTCTCATTTTGGCCCCTTATCTGCTATTTGTTTTCAAAACTGTTACAGTAAGAATGAGACTGCAGCAGGAAGAGAACAACACTGACTGTTATCCCAAAGATTTTCGCATCCAAATACCTTACCTCACATGATATTCTTCCTGGAAGCACCAATATCGACTGCTTGTTAGTTTCTAATGTTTCAGAAAGTTTTAAAAATGAGGTCTGTTTTTTCTGATGCTCTCCTGACATCTGACAAGGTAGCATCAGAGCTAGTCTTGTGATCTGAAATAAATAATGTGGAATACGAACATTGTTAACAATCCCAGAACAACAAAATATGGCAATGATGTGGTTTCCAACATACTGCTCATACGGCATTTGGAATCATATTAAGGGTAACTCATAAAAGCCTGGCAAAATTCCTTTTCATGTAGTGAGGTTTCCCCCTTTGATAAAGAGCTTCAGCTTGCCTCTGAAGTTCTGATCCTGCAGCCTGTAACTTCATGGACAGGCTCTGCTCATATGCTTTGCCCTACTGAAATCAAAAGGGTCACAGCCGTTAGACCAAATGAGGTCAAAGAGATAAGCCAGTTTTGTAGTCTAAGAACAATCTCTCATATGCTGAGATTAACTTTGATTTTTACCACTCTTGCTTTCCCTATATATAAACAAGGACATGCAACACATTTACAACATCAGCCCATTTGTCTACAGGAAGGAATTATGTGCAGGCAGTGATACCTGTGACAGATAACTACGACAGCAGACACAGGTTTCCTCGACACAGACTCAATAGTCTTTGTCTTCCTTCATGGACAAAATGATGGACTGAAGGCATGCATTTTTTGTGTAGGATATTCTCAATTTGGAACTGCTATGCCAGGCATGCAGATAGCTAGCAACAAGTTTCCTTTCTGTTTTGCTGTACCAGTAAAGGCCCAAGAACCCTACTGAATCCTTCACCATATCACAGGATTTAAAGAGGAAACATAAAAGAATTGACAACTGCATCTGCAGAGCTCTGACTAAGCCTGTGCTTTAAAAAAGTCATCTTTCACACCTGCTACTTCTCAGCTCTATCATTACTACTCCTTTCCAGACACTCTATTACCCTGTACAAAATGCTCTTGCTACCCATCTCAAAGGACTGCAGCAGCTCTTCATCACACAGGATTACCCAACATATTGCAGTCACCTAGTTAGATTAATGGTATCATTCCAAGCAGCACAGAGTTAAAAAATCTTGACTGGCTGGTGAGAAAATATCCTGAGAGACTTTAACAGTATCTTATACTACTGTAAATTATGGAACACTCAGTCGATTACATTCAAGGACACAAATAACTTTTCAGACGCATCTTTTCCTCTTAAATTGATGTAGAATATTAATATAAATTAGTGATGGGCAGAACACAGAACAGTAGCAATTTGGCTTTGCTCAAACAAGTACATTTTCAGGTTTTTTGCAAAAGTGCCCAAGTGACTGAAGTACGCAAACCACGTGGTGCTCTTAAGCAGCATGGAACTCATTCAATTCAGCATCAGTATTGGTAATTTAGTTAGTTTTCTCACTTGTTGCTTGCCTTTATTTCCCCCATATGTACCAGTTTCTCTGATATAGACTGTTCCCTTTTCTTACCAACCTTGCCTTTCCTACAAAGGCACAGATTTAATAAACTTATATAATAAATATGCCTGATAAGTGAAGTTATGCCAGGGAATGTAATACAGAAGCTTGGGTACGCCAAGTCTGATTTATCTGAGTTAGACTTTTTTCTTTTTTTGCAGAGATGTGCCTTGATTGTTGGAGAGATCTCAGAACAAGGAAAGAAAGGGAAAGGTAGCTTTTGTCCATGTTTCACTGAGGAAGCTAAAGGTTCTTTGAACATCTAAGGAGGGCAGGTTCAGTGCTCATCACCAGCTAGCAGAAATTTCCCGAACTACTCATGCTTATATTCTCCTGCCTTCAAGGTAAACTAATTTTGAATTTCAGCTGTGAATTCAGTGCACATTGGTAAAATTATACTGAACCTTTGTGTAGACATACATCATTGAATTGAAGCAGTTTAAATTCCATTTGCTTTAATTTAATTTGAAAGTTAAACAGGCTACACTAAACAAAGGCTATTTTGATTTTGAATGAGAATCTACCCACAGTTGGATGCAGTTTAGCTAATCCAATTCAAAAAATAAATGCATTAATTTCTCTGATCATCCCTGTGAAGACTAGACTTTATTTAGCACCATCCTTCAGAAAAACGAAGGCATGAACCCTTGCTTAAGAAAACAGTTAGAATACTGTATGCCCACAGCACATACTTCGGGAATATTATGTTTTATCTGCTCATATTTTAAGTCACTCATAAATCTTAAGCATTTACTTAAGAATTTACTTCAGAAACAACTCATGTGAGATACATACCGCTTCTGAAATTTTTTATACCCCACTTTAAGCAAAGGAGTATTGCAAAGACAAGAAATATTTCATTATCAGATTGACAAAATAAAAGGACTGAATAGCAAATCTGGTAGGCAGCAGATTCTCTAATGTCGGCTTCCTGTCAGTGATAAGTCTTCAATAATCTTGAGAAATACACCAGAGATTAAGGTAGCCTTGTCTTGGTGGCATTATCTAAAACAATGTAGCTCATTAAGGATTTAATACTATAGTAATGAAATTTTAGTAATACAAATATAGCAAGGTACAGAAAATACTTGTTTAATGTGGGCAGAAGGAGTAACCTGATGTATAGGTCTTTTGAACACTCAGATTTTGGATATCTTCATTGTGAATCCTCTTTACAGTCTTGCTTTCAACCTGAAGGCATAGCTAGAATATCCATTAACTGCTAAGGCTTTCTGAAAAATGATCATTTAACAAAAATTTACAAATGTAGGTGAAGATTAGCTTCATTAGGAACATCATTATAATGCTGGAATATCTAAGAGAGAGAATTTATTAAAAGGTATTTGTTGCTTGGTGACTCTGTTCTTTTAACATTATATATAATGGTGACCTATCTGTGAGGCTCTTAAAATGAAGCAGTAATGATTAAACAATGGATGGATAAAAACAGACTGTTTTTTGAAGGATTGAGGTATAACAAATTATTAACTATATCTAATGATGCTTAGCACTATGAGCTGGAAGCTAGAAAGAAAAGAAAATCTATGAGATAATCTTCCCTTGAGTATTCAGGGCATACCTACTGGGAGTTATCATCTATTATAGAGGGTAATGCTCCATTTCCATTAGGTTACTTTTGCTGGCTTACTTTTGATAAGTATCTACTGCAGATGGCCACACTGAAAGTACTGATCTTAAATTTAAATTCATATTTACATAATAAAACATTACACACATGTACTGTAACAGATATTCATTTAATTGGGCACAGTGCTGATACTTTCAACTTCCCTTCAATGTTCTCTCTTAATTCATGTAAATTCAATACATCAATTTGATATATTTTACACAAAACCTTTTGGAATGCATTATTGCTTTCAATTTAACATTTTAAACTGAATTAATGAAATTACTTTGAAATTGCATTCCTTTATATAAACTGAAAAATTTTAATGAAGCCTCTCTAGTCTCTTGTGGATTCAACAATTAATTCCCCATCTTGGCTTCTGAACAACTTTCATGCCACATCCAACCTCTCCCCCACTTCCAAATTCTAACTTTTCAAATACACTCTTTAGCTATCCACTTTGCATTCTACATTAGAATCATAAATTGCCTCTGTCTTTTATTATTTGGTACTTGCTACATGTTTTGAGTCAACAATGTACATGACAGATTTGGGGTACTAAAAATAGCATAAACAAACTTATGAAAGATTTATGTGTTTTCTAAGGCTACCCACGGAATGAATCTCACAGCTGAAATACATCTAGTTTTAAGAAAGCAAAATGCCCACTAACTTCACAAATTTCAGTTCTTACTCAAGTCTTCCTAAAGCAATGACAGCTGAAGAACTTGTTTATCCCTGGATCAACACACCATATAAAAAGGATGAGAAATATGGGCAAATCAGGTTAGGCAGATGATAGGGAATGGAAAGGTAATAAAGCACAGGCAGCCAGCTTACCACATGAAAAAAAAAAAAGGCAGTGCATTCCAGTGTCAAAGATTAAAATAAAAATTATTACAGGGAAGAACACATAGGCTAAATCTGGCAAATCATTCAAGTGCAGGAGTCATTCCATGTAACACTCCCCAGCACAATGTGAGGTAAAGGCAGAGATGTTCCCATTGCACTCTGTGAGGTATAATTGAAAAGGTACTTGTCTACAAGTGACTTCCTTGCAATTCAAAGGCTTAAAGCCAAACGCTTGTGTGAGTGCTCTCCAGAATTGTGGATAAATGTAGAGCCATACAGGCAAAAAAAAACAAAACAACAAACCACTGTGTGGAAAAATCACAAAAAGCCATGCACATCACAGTCTTCCTGCAATCATCATAAGATTATCACAGACATTTATAAAATGTAAACCTTTTAAAGAATCTGTATCTGTAAATGCTGTATGAACTCAGCGAAGTGCAGTGGAATTGAAAGGCAGCCTTTAACTACATAAACTGCAGTTTATAGTAAATGACCTGAAAAAGACTGTGAGGAAATTAGAGGTAGAAAACATCCACCACACTAGGCTTCATTCAATGAACCTTTTTTTCTCAGCTTGCACATGGGATTTATTCATCTTTACCATAATCCCCTTTTTAAGATAGGATTTCAAAGCAAATTCCATTTTCTGCTCTGTTGAAAACTTTTCTTCTACTGATAGTGAGAGAGGGCTTAGGAATGGAAAGGTTTCTAAAAATCACACAAAACTATTAAATACATACTTATATAAACATCTGACTTAAATCTTAATTTCTTTTGTTTTCTACCAGGAATAAATTTCAGACCAAAGTAAACATATTCATTATTGAACAAGCTTTAAACAATGTTTCTCCCTGTGCTGAATCATCTATCTTTTGCAAATACATTGACAGTTATCTTTTTCTCAAACACGTTCTGAGTCCCAGTTTGTCCTGCATGGTTGAGCTCTCTTGTCAAAAACAGTAGCTTTCTGTGAGTTGGCCTATTTTGCCTATGTCTCCAAAATGTTTCTGTTACTTTATTTATGGTGAACAATTTTTCTTGCAAATCAGTGTCTATTTGACAGCTGCTGTAAAAGCTATGAAGAACAGTATTTCCTTTTCTGAGTATTTGGAGTTGGTGTTTCTGTCATCTTAGCAACTGATGGTGCCGCAATTGTCATTCACATCTATTTAT